TGTTAACGTAAGTAGACGAAATTAGCTTGAATAAAATCAAAAAGTGTAATTATTCGATTGAACAAAATTGAACTCTAGATAAATTGAAATCAAACTATAGTTTTCTCGAAAGGAACTTACCAAATTAAACTATCCAACCCCGTTCTACTCAACTTCTCCATTCTCCCACCCCACCACTTACCATCCTGCCAGGTGATGTAGACTGTAGAAAAAGCAAAGTAGCAAGGCACTAGCCAAATAGACTAGATACCATAATAATTATTTCTTCCTCCAATTTGCAGTGTGGACCCTAAACCTCAACCATTCACCACATAGTGACCGTTTTATAAAATATGGAATTCATGGAGATTATGCATTGCATCTTCCACTCTCACTTTCATAATATGACTCGTCCCTCTCAGCTACCCCATATAACGAAAAAGTTTCTTTGTATTATACCCAAAAGTTTTGCACCAGATAACAGACAAAAATTATTATCAACACGATCAGATGCCTTCTCTCCTTCTGGTTTCATGCGCATCAAAAAATGCTTGATATGAACTTGTCATTTTAAAGTTTTTGTAGGGGTTAGTCCAAATATATTGAGACCACTGCTTAATTTATCGTCCTTGTTTGCAGTTGTATTTTCTTATTATAATAATAATTTTAAAGTATTAGATTAACGAAAACGAATTGATATAAGACATGTTAATTTAGCAATATGATCTAAAAATTCATGGTACTAGTAACACAAGAGTTGATAATTTGATAATAACTTATTGCATATAATTTTATATTTTAACTTAATTAGTCTTGACATGGGTTTGAAAGTGTTCCAACGAGGATATTTGATAAACTGTCTTCAATTTTTGTAATGTTTATAACATTAATTGTAAAAATCAATTATTTTAAATAGTTTCTTGACAAGTTCATACAATCTCCTAAACACCAGTACTTAGCTTATGTTAAGTATCGGTGACATGACACATCATTTAATTGGTAAATCATTAAATACATGAGATCTACCATTAATTTATTCACCAATTAAATGATATATATATATATATATAATTTTAAAATTGCAGTAATCAACGAGGATATTTAATCAACTATACAACTTTTCTTATATTTGTAGCATTCAACGTAAAATCAATTATTCTAATTACATGCTTGAGAAGTTCATGTACTGGATTGAAATTAAAGCAACACCTAAACTACGCATGACATTTGATATATTATTCTTTTGAAAGTTCTGTACCATAGATATTTTATCAAGTGTCTTCCACCTCTTCAAGATTTTCAGCATTCGTAGTTGCTTGACAAATTCATATCTAGATTAAAATGAATGTACAGTTAACGTCTAGACGTGACATGTTATTCTCTATGATTATGTGAAGACCTTAATGCACATTGATTTAGATTAGAGTGTGAAATTTGGTTTAGAAAATGAACCGTGTTCTAAATAAAGGTTCTTACTGTTGATACATAATCTGCAGCCAACTCTTCCAATTTTTCTGGTTGGCGACCATTAATTTCTGTCCAGAACTGCAGCTAGTTTCGGAAAAGTCAAATTTATCCCTTCTTTATTTTTATTTTTATTTTTATTTTTTATTTTTACTTTTTGCAAAATAGGACCTTTAGTTGTGTAGTCCCATTTTTGAGAGACTGTATAAAATCCTCTAGATTCTTGTCTAATTGATTTTAATGATAAAATCATTGGAACAAAGAAATTTGAAGTGCATAAAACCTAGAAGGCTTTTGATTAGCTTAAGGAAAAAGGAGGGGCAAGATTTGACTTTGTCTGGGGTGTGGGGTTAAATTTGCTAGTTGGTAGAGTCGAACGTTATTGTTAATTATTGCAAGACTAAAGTCATACTGTTTAGTAAAATTATGATACATTTTATTCATTACAGAATATGAATGAGGTCACTGTTATACTAAGTAGTAATCATAGATAACATCACTGTAGTGTGATACCGTTAGATCATCTCCTGTACAATCGTGAATTACTAAAATATTTTTGCCGCATAAGCAAAATGGACATTGTTCTTTAAAAAAATGTAAAAATCTCTCTCCAATACAAATTTATAGGGACTCTATCAATTTGATATCTAGAACCTCGTCTCCTGGCTTTTTTAGACTTGTTGGCTCATCAAACTATTTGATTTTCGTTCTATATTTAGAGCATTGAATTTTCTCTCTTCCTTTCCATTTTAATTATTTTATTCTAAGGTGGATAAAACACACAGTGAATTGTAAACAGAAACTATTAGAGACCATTTTAAAACTTAATTGGATTGCAAATCTTTCAGGGTGTTGTTTATTTTTTATTTATTTTCCAAAAAATACTTTATTAATAAGCCCTCACTTGTGACGGAGGAATACCATGCTAATAGATTCGAACAACGACACTATACCAAACAAATAGCAAAGCATACGAGCTAAATCACCAATAATATCAAAAAAGGCCACTACCCTAACCTCAATCCACATCTTACTTCCTCCAATAAGTCACCCCCATCATATCCATACGAAGTAACCCTAGAGCAAACCTTGGCAACTCTGTCTAAGGTGTGTTTGTCACCTATTATTTGGGAAAAATGTATTATGAAATAGTGATTGATGTTGAAATATATGATTAAAAAAGAAAGAAAATTTTTTTATTTACGTGTAATATTATTTTAATGAAAAATGTGTGGTTAAAAATAAGTACCGTAAAAAAAATAATGGAAAGAAATGAGAGAAAATGAATGACAAACAGGGGCTCAACTCACTGCTACTTAGATTGAAATGCAAAAAATGCATTAAAGACGATTTCTATTTCAAATTTCAGTTCATGGCTCTATACTGCCAAGTATTCTGTTGGCAAAAATTGTAAATATCATTTGTCCGAAAGCCTGAGGCGAAAAACAGCCTGACAATAACAATGTTTTGAAAGAAAAACAAGTCTTAAGGTAAGCAGGTGTATAACTTTTGAGGCAAATTTTGAAAGCTTTTAAGAAAAGATTCATTTGGATGTAAAACTTTGTGTGTTAAATCTTTCAAGTTTTCAAGAAAAGATTCATTTCGTGAGACAATTGTTGACACGGTTAACAGTTCAAACTGTCTTGAAAAATTTTCAACTAATAAATTCACTTTCAACTATTTAAGATACACAATTGTAACTATCTTGAGTAGTTTAACTGTAACCTAAGATTTAAGGTACCACTCATCTATCTTACGAAATGAATCTTGTTTTGTAAGCTTTAAAGATTGGCCTAAAAAATTTGGAACTACCAAGTAATAATTAGGTTTTATGAAAAATTGTAACATTAGGATATTTTCAAAGTTTCATTTAAAAGTAACTATTTTGTTAATTTCCACAAAATTTGGACATTTATGAAAACGACATGTTGTAGTGACTATTTAGAGGTATTTCCCTATACATAAAAATATATAAACTAATGAAAATAAAGTAAAAAAGAAAGGTTTCAAAACATTTTTATCTATCATTTTTCAGATTTAATTCGAATTCGAAAATAGGCATTTACTCAGTCTTGTCAACAGGTTATTTATTTAACTTACGTTTCTCAATACAGAAATTTACAAGACACTGCTTAAAGAGTGCTTTTAACACTTTATATATAGTACATTCGAAATGTTTAGGGATGGACATGGTCTAGTTCGATCTGGTTCTAACGAGAATCAAATCGGATTCGAAATTTTCGGATATTTAGTAAGTGGAATCGTCGGATCCAAATTTAATTATGGAACTATTCGGGTTCAGACAGTTCGGTTCCATTCGGTTCAATTCGATTCGATTCGGTTCCCAAGTTCCATATTATAATTAAATTTTTTATTATTTACAAAATTGCATTAATTCAACTAATGATTTATTCCATCTTAACTCTTACAAAATAACATAGTCTAATTTTATGTATCTTTTACGTCTCTCTTTACTGAGTTTTTCATAGATTTGATTGTTAAAATCACATGAGAGGTATATAGAGAGCTCACAATAATTAAGTAAGGCATTGTTGAGCTTATTTCAATTTCTTCAGAATGGTTGAAACGACACTATGGTAGAATAACAAATTTGATAAAACTTAGGTTAATTTGATTAAGTTGGCTTTGAACTGAAAATTAGAAATAAGAAAATTATATTTTTGGGTTTTAGTTAAATTAATTAGTTAGCAAATTTATTTAGAAAAAGTAAAATAATTTGGTTTATTTAAAATAAATTAATTAAAAAATTAGGAAAATTCAGTTCTTGATCTAGAACCGAGAACCGAACCGAACTTGTTGGTTCTCGATTCAAATATCCATTCGGGTATTTAACTTAAGAAGAACCGCTTGGTTTGATTCGGAAGTTTTGTCTAGCCCTTGAAATGTTATTTTTATGATTGTAATTGACAAATGTCAATCAACTTCGATTAAAATTACAAATGGACTAAGTGTTTCCAATATAAATAAATGATAAAATACAAAATTGACATAATATATCATGAATGAAGAGTGCATTTAAGAGACAACACTCAACTACGACATCAATTGCGAATGATAAACATGTACACAACACAAAACAAAATGACCCTTGGAAATACTGAATGTGACCTATAAATGGTCATTTTATGCTGGTACTCCCTTCCTTTTTTTTTTTTTTTAGTTTGTATTTTCTTCAATTTGAACATTCTTGATCTTTCTAAACCATTAGTCTCGACAAGATGACAATATTTCTTTCAAATTCTCCAATAGAGTCTTGACACGACTGAGTCATTTGATAGCACATGCGAATGAGTAGCACGCAAATGCAATTTCTGCACATAATATATGTAAAATTTCACTAAGCATGTATTCTTTCAAAATGAGGAAGACTAATATATGTTAATGGCAATGGCTAAGAAATAAGCATAATTTTGATTAATCCATACAAAAGTAGAATCTTAATTTAATGTTAGACCTAAACTTAGGAGTAATACTACCAAGATTTATTCATTAAATTAGAGAGCAACACACGCAGCAACACTTATTAGAACATATTTCTAAAAGAAAATGTCTGTTTAAATGGCACAGGTACAGGTACAGTCGTACAGATCATAGTAATATGATATGCACCAAAAAAAGCCATAGGCAACACCATGGTTTTGTGTTTAAGCCTGCATAGATTTTCACAACGTATACACAAGTATGAAAATGTGTTATACCAGTGGCACGGCACTGATGTCGTGTATGAAGATGTGTTTACATATGTGGCGCGATGCGGATGTCATTTGCTGTAATGTGGAATAAATTGCTCCGTCAAGTGGTGGAAATCATCGCTTTCCCCTTCAAGAAGGCGCAACACCTGCAACCATTTTCACATTTACGTAATACTTAATGATACAATGATTGAAAATTCTACTTGTACATAATTATTGCACATAATGGTATGCATAATGTGATGTGACAATCATCCAATTGTTAATGTGCAAGTGTGAGATTTGAATTAAAGGTTGGATCCAGTGCCACGTGTAATTATGGACACCATTATGTAGACAATTATGTACATGTAGCATTTCCCTACAATGATATAGTATGAAATTAAAAAATTCTACTTGTACATAATTATTGCACATAATGGTGTCCATAATGTAACGTGACAATCATTCGATTGTTGATGTGTAAGCGTGAAATTTGAATTAATGGTTGGATCCAGTGTCACGTATAATTATGGACATTATTATGGAGATAATTATGTACATGTAACACTTCTCTATGAACTTTAGAAGAAAAAGGGTGCATAACTTTTCAGCGTATAATTTCAAGAGCAGGTAGAAAAATAGTAAATGAATGGACGAATTGGGATCAGCCTCGAGAAATAGATAAGCACTATATCTTGCAATATGAGTTAGCGTATTAATTTAGTTGCATGCAAATGCAGATAGAATATTGAAACTTTACCTCTGCCATTGATGGGCGCATCTCGGGTTCAGTTTGGACACATAGGTATGCTGTTCTAGCCATGTGGTACAGTTCATACGTGTTATATGAGTCCTCAAGACGGGGATCAACTAGCTCGTGCAATGCAAGCGTCTGAATCAAATGTAATGCCTGCAATGCCAAAATAGATGCTTTACCAGACATAAAATATCATATGCCAAAAACTCCCGAGCAGTTTCCAAGATGTTTGGCTAAGATTACAAAGTTCACTTCTAAGTAAATAAGTTGCATAGTAAATAAATTTTCATTTTTCAGAAAGATGCTAAAATCTTCAAGACAACGTACCCACTGCCTAAGGGACTGTTGGTCTTCTCTCGCTGAATCCACTGCCTTACGTCCCGATATCAATTGGATTAGAACAATGCCAAAGGAATAAACATCCGTTCTTACAGAAACAATGCCATTCTCCGCGTACTCTGGTGCGAGATATCTGCACATGGCGAGAAACCTCAAGCATTGCTCAATTTATTGGGAAGGAAACTCATTCTCTACGCGATGTAAGTATTGAACATATTCACTGTTAAGTATAACAACGTACACTTACCCCAGAGTGCCAAGAATTCTTGTCTGTATATCCTCTTCACCTGTCTTCCACTTTGCGAGGCCAAAGTCTCCTAGCTGTGTTTGAATAGAATGTGCGTAAGTATGACATAAAAACAAAGTTTTAACTTCGAAATTTATGTTCAAGTCATGATATTTTCCTAAAAAGTCAAGATATCATATACGTCTCATTTACAATGGCCGAAGCCCGCAAGAACTACATCGTACATCGAGATTAAAGAAAGCTATATAAATTAGTTCTACTTGAGCAGCGGAGATTTTAGACTGTTAAAAGGAAGTGTCTTTGATTTTTTTTAAAATTAAAGACATTAAGAGACACTTTATAGTATCTTGAAACAGGTCATAGATCAAGCATTAGGCTATTGGACAGTTTTTAAATATTTTAATTAGATTATGGAGACGTACGGCATGAAATTGTGCCAGGGCCTGACAACCCAATCGCACTACGAACTCCAGCATCACAGAGATTCTATTTTACCTTAATGCAATTAAGATATTCAATCATCCAACGAGAGAAAGACAATGGTTAAGGATATAGACTAAAAATATTACCATAGGAACATATTCGTGTGTGAGCAATATATTACTTGGCCGCATGTCCCGATGAATGATGGGACTTCCTCTACATTCTTCATGCAAAAACCGCAACCCTTTTGCAGTTCCAACAGCAATAGCATGTCTTCGGTGCCATTCAAGAACACGCTCTGTGTTTTCTGACCACACAACCAAAATCCATTGAACATGGAGGGGATACAGAGAGAGAGTAATGTTGTTTCATATATACGATATCCTACTTCAAGCAAAAAAAGAACGAATAAAATATTGATGGTGGATAGATAACTTCAAAAACTTTTACATTTTGTTGCATACCGAATAAATGCCATTCAAGTGATTTGTTGCAGATATACTCATAGACCAAGATGTTAAGGTTTTCCTTGCAACAATAACCAAGAAGCATCACAATGTTCTTGTGACGTGCAAAGCTTAGGACATATACTTCAGAATGGAATTCTGTAAACCCTTGTGTACTTGCTTCCTTACGCACCTTTGCAGCAATAAGTTGCCCATCCTTAAGCCGACCTTTATAAACACGACCATACCCACCTTCTCCCAGTAAATAATCAGATGAAAAATCGTTTGTTGCAAGCTGTATCTCAGTATAATTATATCTCTTTGAATCTAACTCCGTTGTCATCCCACAAGCAATACAGAGAACAGGCACCTCAGAGGATCTCTGTCGACTAAGCTTTCTTCGCTGTTTATGTAAAGTTGGGGGAGAAACGGCATATTTATTTTCAGATTTAGCATAGCTACCTGCAAAAGCAATTCATTACAAATAAAAGCCTACAAAACATTAAACATGTGAAAGACGGAAATAGGGACAAAAGATTACAGAGGATACTCAAGACCAGCATTTCGTTTAGTTATAAATTAAACACTCTACATGCACACACATAACCTTTCTAACCTGATTCATCTTGCAAGGAAAAGCTGTGCTCCTTTAAGTTGGATGTGAATAAGTTGCTTTTAGCCATAACAGAACTTGGCTGGGAAACCATAGAAGCAGCGTAGTTGAGAGACATGGACGTCTGTTCATTGTTATCATTGTCTTGAGAAGATGGGAGTGGAACAGTCTTGGATAGTGAGTAAAACAACTTAACTTCAATATTGTCAATATCCTTTTCAGAATAATCTGATCTCAAAACTTCTAGGCTAAAGTTATCAAGGACTACTGCAACCTTGCAGGGTATATATTTAAGGTAAAACCTCGATTCCCGTCTTAGATGCCTGTAATTGTATACCATCAAGTGCTAAATAAAACGAACTAGCAGTTAAAGAATGTCAATGTACATTTTGAACTACATATTTAACTAAATAAGTTAAAATAGATATTCAATCTTGACACTGAACAACCCATGGGCACCAACCGTTTAACCTTTAAAAACTGATATACTTAAGTCAAGCCTTTAAGAATAATGAATTTGGCTCGTGCATAAGGGAATTTGAACACATAAGTATTAAAAATCAGAAAGGCATATTGACCCTTGTGATTCGAAATGAATTCCATTATCTCTTGCTTAAATATTTATGGTCAATCTTAGTGATAATATTATTATCACATTAATGTTTTTCCAGAGTTGACAATCATATATAATGGTAAGGTAAAGCATTGAAAATTCCCCGAAATCATTTTGAAGACCTCAATTTGGCCTATATATCCTTCATCAATAACTTTTCATCCATCTCCCTTCTTCATTAAAACAGAACATTCTTCCAAGAATATAGCACACAAATATTCTAAATCAAATGTGATCCACATATGTCAAATTCAAAAGCTACCTATCAAGTATAACCCAGGTTGCATTTGAAGTCAAAACTTCTTGTACGATAACTGTCTTCATTGGAGTTCCAACCGTAATCTTGACTTCAATAGCAACCTGCATAAAGGGGATATTGTGGCGATGAAAAACTTAAGGAACCAGTCTGCATTCTTTTTAGAGAAATCATGATATTCACATGGATACTTGATAAGGCATACTTCAAATGTAGCCATGCTGTTTCTTAACTCAGATTATTCTGAAAAGGATAACTTAACCTCAAAATAATTATGGTTCTTAACTCAGGATAGTTTATATTCTTCAACTGAAGACCACACAAAATAAAGACACCCCAACTCGGCAACTCCCAAAATCACAATCTAAGAGTGTAAAATTCATCCAAATTCGACGACCCTTTTCAACAAGTATACCATTTGTACCAACAATATCACTATTAAAACAAAGTAGTACTGGACTGTGAAAGTGAAAAGTGAAAACGAACGGCACCGATGCACCGTGAAAGAACTCACCAAAATTCAAAATCTGGAAGGCAGCAAACGAAAGTTCGAAACTCGTTGGAGCCTCGAGTAGGGAGGGTCGGACCGTCTGAGAACTCCGGGTCGACGATTGTATGGGTTTTCTAGGACGACGACAATAACTGTATGAAGACTCTAAGCCGGAGACGGTGGTTATGCAGTATGCACTTATCACTTATGCTTGTAGGTTGTATCAAGAGTAGGGTTATTTAGTTGGACTAGGGTAGTTGGGTTGGATCATGTTGATTGTTCGGCCAAAAATTAAAAAAAAATTAGAAATCAAACAATAAACTGAGTGGGCCAAAAGCTAAAAAATTAGAAATGAAACAATTATTGGGCCAAAAATTATTTTTTAGAATTTGTTAATTTGTTTGGAAAAAAATTAAAATTAAAACATTTGATTTATTCAATAATAAAAAAAAAGAGTTCGAAAGATTCGGTTCTCATTCGGTTTTTTGGTTCTTGGTATAGAATCGAGAACCGAACCGTACCCATCGGTTCTCAATTCAGATACCTGTTCGGGTATTTAATTCGACAAGAACCGTCGGGTTCGGTTCGGTTCGAGAGATTTGCCCAGCCCTAAATATACCTCCATGCCTTGTGTGAATTGTTGGATATTTATGAAATCATAATGCATTCCGGCATGTTAGTATTCGTCATAGAGATATAGTCGAATCACATATCGGGGTAGGTTTGGCATTGCTCGAAAGAGATTGTCAAATTAAAATAAGAATATTGATTCATCTTTTATGCAACTGTGTGTCAAATTTACAGGATTGAAAATTGAACGATATTGCTTGGGAATTCGTGATCCTAGTGCGTTAGTAAATTCATTAATTTCATAAATTCTCGTAGATTGTGTTCAAGTCATTTTGCATTTAATATAATTCTCTCATTCATAATTGCATTAGAGTTCACATCTTCCTTAGTTAAATCACAATACATCAATTTTACTTAACCCTATTTTGTAGTTGATCCTTATGTCTTATTTATGGATTTTGCTACAGGTACCTGGAGCTTTACATTTCGGATTACCCGTCCCTCACATGGGGGTGGGTCCCCACGCATTTATTGGGCATGGGACCTGACCCCATGTGAGGGGCAGGTAACCCAGAGTATAAAAGCTCCAGTTACAAATGACAAAATCCTTTATTTATACAATAAAACTAAAATCCTAGTGTAAGAAAACGTAAATGTTAATAAAATCCCAAAATGAGAAAAAAAAAATTATCAAAAATAATCCATGTATCCTGAAAATAATAAAAAACATGCTTTATCCAAATAAGTAGAATTTGCTCAATAATCAAGATGGCCAAAGGCTTTGCCATAAGGTTTGCTCCGACATTCAATTCTATTTGAAAAACCTATATTCGTTTCCAGTGATGAAAATTTAAAGAAATAAAAGGTCGCCCTACATCATGCTCTATTTTTATAGACACGGAATTCGTTTACTTATTAGTCATCAGGGGCGATGGTGTTAAAGATTGAAATGTTAGATATTAAATTTGATATTTATGAACAGTTTAAACCTCTAAAAAATAAAAACAAATTTATTAGGATGGTAATTTGGGATCGGATCGATGAAATAATCATGCGACCGATTGTAAAATTTTATTAATTATTAATTATTTTATATATTAAAACATTGATAAGCTTCAAGATTTTTAAAAAGAAACAATGATTATAATGAACTGAAACTAAACTATAAAACCAATGTTGCAACTAGCTTATAAAGGCTTACAGTGATTTTTGAAATGCAAGGGAAACCAAAAATAAAAAATAATAACGTGAAAGCTTCATTTAAGTCTTGGCCCTGCTTTCAAGCAAAGACTTTCTAACAACTCAATCGAACATGCAAGATAGGTTGCCTTACTACGATTTATGTGAAAACTTTTTATCTTTGTCAACTAGATCTTATGGAGTGAGCTAAATTAGCGGGATCTGTCATTTCTTATAATTATTATAACTCTTGTACTTGACTTGTTATGTCAATTTCCTTAGTTGACAATATTACTTTTACATTTTGCGATAACTCGGATCTTATGTTTCTTCAGGTATATTTCATTGACTCAAAACAAGTGTTATGAGAATCTAGCCTTGCTAATGGTTGGCCACTCACATTTAGCCTTCGCCTTCTTGGCCAAGTTGAACTTGTCAATGGTGTTGAGTAGAACCACCTTTCTTTTTCAAGGAGTGATAATTCAGTAATGAGATCGTAAGATCCTACAATTTTAAGATCTTACGGCTCAATCGGATAGTTTTGTTATTTTGAGATTCAAATAGTGGTTTTAACGACTCTGGAAAAAAAAAGACACATATTTCTACTTACTCAAAGACAGAAGATGGGACTATTTTATCCTTTGATATTTCAGCCAAGCCTATAACCCAATTGTTTAATTTACCTCGTTTTTCATATAATAATTCTTCTCATTTAAGCTCTAATCTTTGTCAACATTCAAAATGGCTAACAGATTCAAAGATTAAACAAATTCCGCTTGGTGCTATTTTGGATTTAAATCATCCATTTTTTTATTTTTATTTTTTGGGTTTCATATTAGCTTGAGAGTTAGTAAGATATTGAATTTGAATATCTTTTAATTTTTCTCTTTTGGGTTGAAAAGCGCTAAATACTGATTTTTTTTTTAATTTTTTTTTCCCAGTCCTTCCCACTGGGAAATTATCTAAAACTTGTCTATGTTTATCAGTCCGTAAGACATCGAGTGAATATATTTTAAAGTTCTTTTGGTTAAAAGGTACTAATTATGGCATATTTTCCAGCTCGTTTGAAATTATCTAAGATTTGTTTATATTTAACTTGAGAGTTCGTAAGAAAATTGAGTGAGAATATAATTTAAAGTTTTCCAGTTTAATAGGCACATTTTCAACTTTTTCGTTCATTCGAAACTATTTTTGATCAACCAAATATACCAATGAACATCACCACAAAGGTCAGACGACAGGTCCACTCAAGGAGTATCAGTTATGTACAAAGATACTGCTCAGAATTTATATTCATATTCAAGAACCTCAAAATATAAAGCAATCCACGAGAGAAGACTATAGTATTTTAAAAAAGAGTGTCATCCCCAAATTTTGAACTCATGAGATCACCAATTATTTCTATTTACTCATTTTGTAAATCTAGCCAAGGTTTCCGGCTGTTCTTTGCTATTTGGTTTCATGTCAAATGCGTCCTACTCAATGAGGATACGACTAACGACATGGAAAATAGTCCTGAATCTGCTACTGCGTTCCACCACAATTAATTGAAAACAAATATCGACAAATATCCAGTTTCACCTCAACCAAGTGCCTCGGCTATGTTGTCCATTCTGTTTTGTGCTGTAATGAGGAATACATAGCTCAAATGATTAGAGGAAGTGATTGTGTTTCCCATCAAGAAGGTGCAACACCTGCAGCCGTGTTCGTGATGTGATCAGTTGAGGTAATATGAATAATTGACCACTACAAAGATTAAAATAGCAAATGAGATTGATAGTGTTTACTAAGCCTAAAATATTCACTCATATTTATGAGTAAGTTTAATACAAATTACATTCTTTTAAGAATCCCGTCTTGTAAAATAATTTGATCTTAGAAGAACTGTTCATATCATGTCCACTAGTACAGTAGTACTTACCAAACATGCTGAAAGAGTATTTGCAAAGCATAATCAAATCTACATATGGTGAAATTCCAATAGTATAAATATTTAAGGAATCATCTATTTACCTCTCCCATTGATGGGCGCATAGCAGGGTCCATTTTGACACATAAGCATGCTGTTTTAGCCATATGGTAGAGTTCATAAATCCTGTACGAGTCCCCTAGACGAGGATCAACAAGCTTTTCTAATGCAAGCGTCTGAATCAGTGGTAATGCCTGAAACAACAGAAGATATATTTGGTACAAAAATGTAAGATGGATTGTGAAGCCTCCTAACAGTTTGCAAAAACCATTTATATCATCAGAAAAAAATATCCGCGAAACAAATTATGTGGGTGAGAACAATATTAATATGTTATTTAAAAGGAAGAAATATGGTCAGACAACATACCCACTGTATAATGGACTGTTGGCTGTCGTCACCAGTTGAATCCACTATCCGGCGTCCTGATATTAGTTGTAACAAGACAACCCCGAATGCATAAACATCACTTTTTATGGAAACATTGTCATTTTCTGTGTACTCTGGTGCAAGATTTCTGCATGAGGTGAGAAATATAAACTCAGTTCATTGAAGGGCGATTAGGCATTTCATTGGTCATATTTTGAGAAAAACTGTTCTCGATTCCTTTTTTGTAAACAGTGAACCTAAACTTACCCTAGAGTGCCAAGAATTCGTGTTTCCCTATCTGCCTCGTCCGTCTTCCATTTTGCTAGTCCAAAGTCTCCCAGCTGTGCATCAATAAAATGAATAAAATCGAAGATATAACAAATTGTCACCTCTAAATTATTTGCAGGTCTGCATTTGAGATTATTATTTGGATAACCTTATAAACTTGACCAGAAAAAATCTTAGACCTTTGTGGGAAGAGATTGTGTTCAAGACAATCAAACAGGAAGAGTAAAATGTGTGAGCGAATCAAATTAAGAGAACGAAGACATTGGCTAATTGTACTGGGAATAAAGATTTTACCATGGGAACAAAGTCATCGGCAAGCAATATTTGGCTAGGCCTCACGTCCAGATGAACAATAGGATATCTCCGACACTCTTCATGTAGATAACGCAAACCTTGTGCAATTCCAATGGCAATAGAACGTCTTGTGAGCCACTCAAGAACACGATCAGCATTATCTGTTAATACTCGTCTATAAGGATAAATAACTATAGAGATTTAAAGATTAGCTATTCTAGCTCATCTGCTAAATTTGATTACCAAATAAATGCCACTCTAGAGATTTGTTGCAGACATATTCATAGACCAAGATGTTAATGTTCTCCTTGCAACAATAACCAAGAAGCCTCGCGATGTTCTTATGGCGTGCAAAACTCAGGGCATATACTTCAGAGTGAAATTCTGCAGACCCTTGTGTACTTGCTTCTTTTAGCACCTTTGCCATAATGAGTTGCCCATCCTTCAGTTGGCCTTTATAGGCAACACCATATCTACCTTCCCCAAGTAAATTATCAGATGAAAAATTCTCTGTTGCAATTTGGATTTCAGAATAAATAAATGTAATTAAATCTAGCCCATTATTCATGCCATTATCAGTTGAAAGAACAGGTACATCAGAAGATCTCCGTGAACTTCTTTGTTTTTCCATCATTAGAGGAGAGACAGCATATTTATTTCCCCCTTCAGCATTGCTACCTGTTGAAATCATTCATTGTAATTGTTGAAGACTAAAATACGCACGCACATACCCCCCCTCTAACCAAGGGCGGATCCAAGAATGGACTAAATCCAGGCTAATATGTAAAAAAAATAAAAAATCCACATAAATTTTTTGAGAGCAGGTAGAGGTCGTGAGTTCAAATATTGCTGCTGCCTATTTATTAGAATTATTAGACATTTGAGCTGATAAGTGATAGTCCAAACCCAAATTTTCAATCCGATAGTGAGGAAATGTCAAGTAAAAAATGTTTAAACATGTACAAAAATTTTTAACCTTGTTGCTCTTGCTTAGCACTGAAGATAGATTCATATCGTGGCCGAAATTCCATAAACTCTCGTATAATTTCTTTCTTGGGCACCTTTGTTGTTGAATCAGAGGATCTCTGTGGACTTCTTTGTTTTTGCTTCATTGGGAGAGAAACAACATATTTATTTTCCACTTTAGCATCATTGCCTGTTGATATTATTCATTAAAATAGAAAGCACGTAAGAAACAGAGATCGAGGTGTGCTGCCTGTTTTGCTATTTCAGCAATAAAAGCATAAACAGATTATAGATTTAAGATCAAAAGGGCATAAAAAATGAGAAACTCTTTAGCACTCACAACATTTTAACCAAGAGAGAGTTTCGGGGTGGGGCGGTTCATGTCCCCCGGACATTTTCCCACCACGTTACCCATTTAAGGCAAGGCAAGGTGTACGCATCCATTTATTCTTTTCATAGTTTTTGATAATTCATTTTATTACTCTCATTCATTCAAGTGAGACAATAATAAAGTTATTAAATTTTTAATTAATTTATTTATTTTCAAAAGTTAAATTATTCAAATATATTTGGTAAACTAAGGTTTTTATTGTTTATCATGTTCTTTAGATAATTTCAATTGTCATCTTCTGTTAGAATTAATGAAATTTTATGAAATTTTTCTATTTAAAGTATTGAATTTTTTAAAAAATAAAACAAGACTAGGCCCCTATACCCGTACCCATCTCAGGGCGGAATTTCCCATCCTGTACCCAACCTGATTACCTGGTTAAGCGGGTAATCCCCACCCCCTCTTCAGGTTGAGGCGCACAAGAATCGGGTTTGAGGGTATTTTTGCAATCTTTGCACCTCAATGTTAAATAATATCAAATTCAAGTAATTGACGATTTCATTTTTCTCATTATATTAAACCTTTTTATGTATTTGACAAAGAAATCTAGATATGCGAAAGGAAAATGAGTGAAAGACTGTTAAATACTAAAATTTAAATAAATAAGTGGGTATATCTCTAACAATTTTAAGCTTTTATATGAGGTGATTTAAATTGTATTAGAACGAGCATGGATCCTGAGTTCAAGTCTTGTTGCGGTCCATCTACGAAAATCATGCACTTATGAGCCTTTGATGAAAGTAAATCTAGTACGAACGTAAGAGACGTGTTGAAGATTAATCTAAAAAATAATTGTTTTCTTTATCTAACAACTTAAACTTTTAAATGAGGTAGTTCAATAGATTGTGCACAAATAAAAAATAGTTTACCAAACGCTAATAACAGTTTCTTCTATCAATTAAGCTTAAAGGTCCACTTTAACTTAGGAGTAACAGTTCAGACACAAATTATAATATAGTGGAAAACTGGAATGTGAAGTCAGATATGCCAAAGTACTTAAAAATCTTTGTAACCTGATTTCTCCGGCGTAGTATTTTGGCTGGATTCATCTTGTGAGGAAAAGCTGTGATCATTGGAGTTGGGCGTGAATGCTGATATGGAGCTGTTCTTGGTCATGTTAGAGCCATCCAAGGTACTGATAGATGCATAGGAGTCGGCAGAAAGGATAGAATTGTCGATTGTCTCGTTATCTTGATTGGATAGTGGCTTGACTGGCTTGGATAGTGAGTAAAACTGTGTATATTCAATATTTCCAACATCCTTTTTAGAGGAATATTGCCTCAAAACCTCCAATGAGAATTCATCAAGGACCAGTGCAACCTTGCAAGGTGTGTGTTTAAAATAATATTTCAACTCCTTTCTTAGGTGCCTGTCATTGCAGTGAAACAATATGAAATACAAACATGCCCATATTAAGATAGGTAGAACGTTCATTACTGACATTAAAAATTTCATAGAACCAGATCAAAAATAAATAAAAAGAAAATAATATATACCAAGATATTGGGACTATGATCAAAGAGAACAAATATAATCTCGCTTTAGCTGAAGTATGAATGGACATAAAAATTTTCTTTGCTTTTCACATTAGGATATGGTGAGCTATTCAATTTTATAAATGTACTATTTTCAAGAAAAAAATGCTTACAATATAGGAACATAGAGCATAACATCACTTTAAGACTTTATTTTTCAATTTTGCATGTCTTAGGAAAATCACAATTTTAACATTTTACCTTCTTTGTGAAATAAAACTGTGAATAAAGTTTTCTGGAAGAGAAAACTCTCTTTTTCCTTCCAAGAAAAGATGAAATAAATAAATAAATGAAGACAAATTTGATCAGAAAATGTTAATTAATCAAATGCTACCTATCAAGTACAAGCCAGGTTGCATTGGAAGTTGCTACTTCTTTTGCAACAACCTTCTTCATTGGACCTCCAACAGTAATCTTGGCTTCAATTTCAACCTAATAAGAGATTGTAATGGCTTAGTATTGAAAACTATAAAAATATTGTGGCTACTCTATTTCTTCCAACAAAAAAGTGAGAAATAATAAAAGTATGTGCCATTAAAAGTAGAATTTCTGAAGGAATATAAAAGTACATATTACCCCATCAGCTTCACATTCTTCAGCACTATGGTGGAGCATGCTCACATAAAAATCAATCTTTCTCGAGAATTCTTCTTCCATTGCACGGACATGTGTTCCAAAGAAAGGCCCGTGACCTATTTTCATTTCGTAACCCACTGTACCCAGACATGAGTTAACAAAATTAAGAAAGAGAAATAAAAAACAGATTCCTAATAACTGTGAAAAAATTTCAACAAACAAAAGACTGGTTCATAAGTCATCCAACCATATTCCTAATAACGCAGAATTGCAAGAATATTTGACCTTACTGCAATAGTTTGAGTGAAACCCACATTTAAACTCCCCAAAAATATTGAAGAAATTCTAAATAACATAAAATGCATAAAGAAACAAAGACTTACTGGGGTGAAGGATTTTGTGTATAACCCCAAGAACTGTAATTTTATCCCCTGGTTTTATTATCCCACCTTGCATCCTGATATTACTAATCGTGTTCTTGAACTCCTGCTTATTGTGATCTTTAGTCGCATCACACGCGAAAACAATGTGCCCTGGCGTGTGAGGATTGTCCCTGTAATTGTCACTTCTTTCCATAACGGATGGTGCAAAAATCAGAAAAATCCAAGTCCCTGAAAATGCTGTAAATTGAAAACTTTTCTAAGACTTCCTCTATCCTTGTTTTTGTCAAATTGTGCGTGTGAGAGGGACGGGGGGAGAGGATTTGAAGGATAATACTGTGATATATAGCAAGTACGGAGAGAATGAGAGAATCCCTCTATGCAACAAGGAGATAAGTGCTAAACAGCTGAAGATAACATCAAGGAGTCCATTGTTTGGGGTTTATGCTTCGGAATCTTGGTCCTGGGCGACAAACACTTGCATAGGATTCTCAGAGAAGAAAAACGAAGTTGTTGTCCGGGAAGGACGAGGTCGGGGAGCAAATGAAACGGTCTTGTTTTACAAAAATCTGAAGAACCAAAAAAATTTCTAACTTGCCCTTCAAGTTTGAGTTTGGTCCCTCAAGTTCCCTTTTTCTCTTCTATTTGTGGAGAGTGAAGGTCAACTACATCAATAATTTTTTGTCACTCACTTTGGATTGTCGTTGCGTTAATATTTTTATTGAAAAAGTATGTTCCTTTACATCGTGAAGTAGTATGTTTTAGGCTTTCAATCCTGATATCTTGATTGCTGCTAATTTTCAGCATCCACTCTTTATTTATTGGTATTTTAATCTTAACTCCAATGGCTTTAGAATGGACTGAAGGCGCAACTTTTGTGTGCATTGGGAAGAGAAGGAACTAGGAAGATATATTTGGTACGTAGGAAAAGAGGGAGAGGATCATAATCCTACCCATAAAACAAAGAGAGGAAGCAAAGCTAAAACTTGTTATACAAGAAGTATTTGGGATCCAAATATCCAAAGGAACTAATATGTAATAATCATAATTACGACAGACGGTGTTTGTTTTAGTCGACCTCCTTTTTTTTTCATGTTCTATTATATTCATATTCATATTAATCTATCTATAGAAGCCGGAATTGCTAGTAATCGTCGGTCGGCCATACAGCGGTGAATTCGTTCCCAGGCCTTGTACATACCGCCCGTTATACTTTGAGAGCTGGTCATGCCTGAAGTCGTTATCTTAATTGCAAGGAGGGGGATGTCAAAGGCAGGGCTAGTGATTGGAGTGAAGTCGTAACAAGGTAGCCGTACTGAAAGGTGCTGCTGGATCACCTTCTATGATATTCCTATTCATATTAATTTATCTATACATTATAAATAATGTCCATAGTCTAACAACGTATCTGTGAATATGACAAAAACAACTTCGATATAATGCCTAATTCCACGTGTTTGAGATGAGAAAATTTGTATTATCAATAAAATTGACATAATGTTTATCACCTTTATAACATGTGGCGGCGAAGTATCATCTGATGGTATGATTACTGCCATTTAGATTCTCCAATTTGAATTAGGCCGTCTAATCCTATGCAAGATAATTTAAGAACTTGTTTGGGAATAAAGTTCTGAAAAATTATTTATCTTCATAATCACTTTCACCACACATTCTATGGGATAATAACATTTCCTAATTTTTAACATTACATTTTCTAGAAAAAAAACCATTTTCCAGTTGGAAAGATCTCTCCCAAACATGCTCTAAGTGCAATTGTATTTTATTAATTGAGTGGCAAACACTTAAAGAATTTTTGTGGTTTAGATGAAACAATAAATAACGCAATATAATTTTATGTAAAGAAAATAAATCTTTAGGTGTTATGAAATTTTATTTAGCAAGAAATATAGTAGTTCCCGCAAAAATTCTTAATTTCAAAGCGAAAAAGGAGTAGAAAACATAAAAACAGAATGTTTTGGAGTCAAGGAATTGACATACTGATATGCATAAAGAATAACCCATAAATACAGTAAGTTTAATTATGTTTTGCGAAAGTTAGTCTCGTTTAGCTGCTTTAGCATATCAAATTAAACATGTAATAAAAGCCAAGAATCAGACATATTTAGTACTCGAGTTTTATTCATTCTTCAAGGAGATGACATAACACTGATATGAGTTTGTACCAAGATAATTACAGTGGAATCATTAAGTTATCCTAAGAATTAGATTTAATCTACATACAAACTAGACAATCTCCGTGTCAATTAAGGGCTTTACATTTCAATATCTGTGCATTTGAAATCCCAACTGTTGGATCATCAATAAGATCCTTTTTCCTCTGATTATGTATATCTGCAGTGTATCTTGGCAAGTGACTCTCATCAGCACTTGAAAACAGCCTACAAATCCGACCGATCAGCTTGTTGCATGGTCTATGACAAATGCTTCTCGTCTGCAGAATTCATTGCTCTGTAGAAAATATTGATAGAGCTACCTACTCAAATCGAGCTAAACCTTTCCGTCTGATGAAGGGAGATGTCTCTCCGTTTCCACAGCCGTAGAAGATTTAGTTACAAAATTTGTGCCTTTGGAGGGAGCTGAAGAGGGAGAAGGCAATTTTTTAGGTAGCGTTTGGTCCCAATGTACCTTAGGCACTCTTGATGCTTCTGATATGAAAATGAGTGCAAGAAAACTCAAGATTAGCCACTTGTAACTCCAAGAACCCAACATGACGATTATGCCACCAAACCCTTTTGCGTCAAGCCTTTTGAAAGACAAAAAATCCTATTGGAGCTATCTGAGACGAGTGTTTCGATAGGAGGATGAAGGGAGACAAATCAAACACTTGCACAGAGTCTCTGTTTTAACTGCCAAGGATTGATTTAGAGAGTTTGCAGCGGCTGCAGACATGATGAGCAATGTAAGAAGACTGCCAGTTTGTTTGTTTAAGGAAAGATGAAACAGTGGCAGACAATGTTTGTATAAAATAATTATTAGCTGTTAGCTGTTTGTGTTCTTGTTCTTGTAATCCTTACTCCAAGTAGAAAAGGTGTGTCCCGTAATAAAGTAATCCTTGGAGTCTGAATTAGTTAAAATACAAGAACTGTAATATGTACTGTACATCGTACTCGTCTTTAAAATTTTATACCATAACATCTCTACGCTTGCATGACATTTTATTGAAATCGTATCACTTTTACAAACGAAATCTGCAAACATGTATCCATTGCTTGAATTATCTTTCGATTCATTTCTCTTCAAATGGTGTCATGTGCACTTATTCGTTATATTCTCATTTCTTATTTGTAATTAAGATAAACTTCCTTTATTTGTCCACGCGATTTTTATTGTTCAGAAAAAAATAACAAACAAGAAAAATCCTAAAAATAGAGCAGAAAAATTCATGGACGATCAAGGTTTCCATTATATGAAAAATTGTTTCAATCATACAGAATTCCCTCATGAGAAAAAATACCAAAAGCTTTACAACAACCACCAAATTCTATTATTTGAACAATCCAAAAGGAGAACCCCCATAAATAAATAAAACACCAAAATCCTAAGCTTCCAATCCCCCTAGGCCAATTGATTTCCTTATTGCAATGAAAGTCCCTTTTAAATTGCCTTTTCCATCATGTGCTTGTTTGATAAAAATTGCTAAAATTTTTTAACCATAAATTTCATATAAACACAATTTTCATCAACTTTTCAACTTTACATTTCATTCATTTTTATTAAAAGTCTTGTCAAACAACTCTTTTGGCATCCCTTTACTTTTTTATTTCAGTTGAAATTTTGAGACAACAATCTCTACAATATCTTATCCAGATTAGTACGACCACACATTTATTTTAACGTCCTCATTTCTTCTATATTCATCTCCATCTTTAAAGTGGCGTTTCAATTTTACTTAACTTAAATCTTTAAATTCTAAAATACACCTTCAAAGTCTTTAAAACATGAGAAAATTCCATATGGCCCGTGAAAACCTACAAAGTCCCCACCATTTAAAAAAAAATAAAAAATTATTCTTCATATTCAATCATGCAAACATGAGGAGAATAGAATTTAATATTTTGGAGAAACTAAAGAAGGGAGACAAGCCCCAGTTCATAAGGGTAAAGTGTGGTTGAAGAAGTCCCAAAAGCAACTTGATCACTTTTTGTCTAGTCTTTTTGCCAACATAGAAAATATTCAATGCACAAATAAAGATAATGAGTGCCAGTAGTGTTTGTGGCAACAATTCTCTTTGAGCAGCTCTTCCTTAAGTTCATGGGGCAGTCATTATGAAATCGGAATTGGAGAGACTTGACACTACCTAATTGATTTTGTGATGACACCACATACTAGTTGTTTGAGAAGTAATTAGGCCCATAGTTGTTTCTAATCTACCATCTCGTCTAAAAATTTGATGATCGTCAATATATGTCCCCTTATGTAGAAAGATTCGAACTTATTTCTTTCATCATTTGTTTGAAATGTAATTTTTTTAAATAAATGAATGGTAGAAAGACTTAAACTCACAAGTCATCTTATATAAATGTTTAGTTGAGTATATTTATATTACAATATGATATATAAATAGTAAATACTTGAAATTACAAGTTTAGTAACTTCAGCAATGAGTGAAGTAGAAAGTGTTTATTATAGAAATAAAGTTGTGAAAGCCAAGACAAGTTTGTATCGTCCATCTACTACAGTCAAATCATTTAAGAGTGTTCTTTTTTCTGATTTTCAAAGGGTAGTACAGGTGTATAAATGCTCACCTCGGAAACTAGTTTTCAAATTCTAGCTTTTCCCTCATGGTAGTTGTTGGGATGACAAAATATCGTGTCCTTTCACTAATCGAGTGAGAGACACGGAATGTCGCTCCCACCTACTTGCCATATATATATATATATATATATATATAGATCTTCTGAGGAATAGGATATCGAATCCATGGAAGAGCAGAATTGAGAGGTTTGTAATTAATAACAAGACGTGGAACACCTCTTTCAATTTCAGCAGAATTGTTAACATAAAATGCAGAACAACTCCATGGAGATTTACTTGGACGAATTAAATTCTTCTCAAGTAGATCATTGATTTCCTTGATACAAAAATCAAGTAATTCTTTTTTCATTTGAATATGACGAGATTTTGTAGGAATGTTTGATTCATGAAAATCAGAATTGTAAGGAAGAGAAATAATGTGTTTCTTTCTATCCCAAAAAGTATTTGGAATAGTTGAACAAATATCTTGTTCAAATCTTTTTAGCAGAAACTGCTAAACTATTTTTCTTGATAACATGTATGAATGTATGAATATGCTTGATATGTTGTTCAATAGATTTTGAAAAGATGAGAACATCATCAATATAAACAATAATAAAATCTGAAAATGAATTAAAAATATCATTCATAATTTTTTGAAATTCAGAAGGGGCATTTTTGAGACCAAAAGGCAAAACATTCCATTCGTATTGTCCAAAAGGAACGTTAAATGCAGTTTTGTATCTATCTTCTTCTTTAATTTGAACTTGCCAGAATCCTGACTTCATATCAAATTTTGAAAAAATGATAGCTTTTGAAAGTCGATTCAGAAGAAGATAGATACAAAACTGCATTTAACGTTCCTTTTGGACAATACGAATGGAATGTTATGCCTTTTGGTCTCAAAAATGTCCCT